AAGTAACTGATTGATAAAAATATATATTAGTCTAGGGCCTAAGATGCATAAAGAATTATTATTTATGAATGATACCTTTGTAGCACTTTGGCATTTCATTCTCTTCTTCTTTTTTTTTTGGAAAAGAAGATTGTGTGAAGGATGTGTTAAAAAAAATGCGGCACCTTATTAAACTAGGAAATATGCTTTGAAATAATAATATTGTTTAATAATAATAAAAAGAAAAAAAAACATAGATGTAGATCTTCTCCTGGTTGTGATTTAAAGGGCAAAGTTTCAATAGTGAAAGCAATATTCGAAATTATATGTCACACCCACTTACAGTTAATTTTAGGGTTAACTTATAAACTGAATAGACTAAGTGTTCCGTAAAGACCGCCCTTACTATCTATTTTTAGAAGTCTTATCAAAAATGAAAAGAAAAGGAGGCAAATTAATATTTAAGAGATAAACATAGTACACAGTGAAAAAAAATCAGGTAAAACTACCTTACTGTATGGAAATGATATTCCGTTATTTGGTAGTTTTTGCGTTTGAACATTATGGTAGAGTTCTACCAGAACTTCGAGTTTTCAAAATTATACTTCGAATTAATTCATTTAGTAAAAAATATAAATAAGGAAAGTAAATTTAACCGAATAAATAGATTTTATGCCATGCTTTAAGGTATCACGTTAAAATTATCAAATTTTACACCATTTACCAAATCACATATAATAAAATCATATTTTAGTGTTTATTTTACTGAAATCATAACCAAAGCACTTCGGTAAAATTATGGGGCTTTTTAGAGACAGAGACACGATACATTTAATATATTCTGGTAATTTTAATCCTACTTTTTCCTCTCACAATGTATTACACACAGTAGTTTTCGCAGTATGCTGTAAATGTAAAAGACTGACAAAATAGAGAGTTTTTGCAGTATAGTGTAAAAGACTACACAGAAATTTTTTGCAGTATACTGTAAAAGACTACACAGAGAGTTTTGGTAGTATACTGTAAAAGACTAAACCGACACCGAGAGTTTTTGCAGTATTCTGTAAAAGACTACACAGAGAGATTGTTTTTACCTANCGCCATACGACTTTCGCACCATACGAAAACTATTTTCACTTCCGAAAATAACAATGCTGCTATATCATTGTCAAATATTCAAGAAATGCCAAGTGGAATGTCGAAAGTAGTTTTTTTTACTATCTGGAATTAGTTAGCAAGAATTTTGCTTTTGCTTTCAACAGAAACTTAGCTGAAACTTGCTTTCAACAGAAACTTTGCTAATATACAACAACAGAAACTAGAAATCGCCGCTAAATACATATGCATGTTTTTAGTTGTGTAATAAGGTAAAACATATTTTTATTTTTAAATCCCAAAAGACTGAATTAAATGATATTATAATGCACAATTTCTATCCGCTTTCGTTCTGTTACCCCTTGTTAGTATTAATATTCTCTCTGTGCTGCGCATATGTTTGATTTTCAAACAAATTTTATTTTAAGAACGGGTGTATATCTGAATTTTTAATTAATGTTTTCTACTTTATATTTTTATTTAATAATCTTAGTTGAAAAGCAGACCCAATTTTTGGCTTACGTCTATTAATGTTCAACTCCGTAGCCTTGTAGTTTTGAACCCAATCCAGAAGACAAGGGAGCTCCAGGATCAAGTATTGGGAGAAATTTCCTTTCATGGAGGACTTCTTTGATGGAACTAATCTGTATTAGCGTTACATGCGCAAAAACCTCCCACGGTTAGCCAGACGGCAAATGTACCCTAGCCCATGATCCGTCTATGGATATTTTACGTCAGCCTTGTGGTTTGTTCAAGACGGAGGCGGAATTTGTATCAACCAGCCATCGCTGAGATTCAAACTCGGTTCACATCATTGGGAGGCGAACTCCCTATTGCATTGCGCAATACTCTTTATATTGTATTGTAAAAATAACTTTACTGACTCTTGTGTGTATCTTACATATAATGGTTTTTTTAATGATAAATATTATTAAAAATAAATACAAATAATTATATAAGCCATGCAATCTAAACAAGTTCAGGAATCGTTTTAAATAAAGCTGGATAAAGTATAATGAAATATTGTTGAAATATTGTTGAAATATCGTTTTTTAAACACTATGATAATAACGTTTTCTCCGGAAACGTAGTATATACCATGTTTTATGATAAAAACTGAGTATACGATAGTTATCCACAGCAATGAAATCATAGTTATTTTAGATCGCAAATACGGTTACGATATTATCGATTTTATCGTTAGTGTGGATATATCTTGTTAGGGTAATAAAAATAAATAAGTCGTATTGGGAAAAATACCGCGATGTATCGTAAAATAACGATATTTCATTGGTATACATTGTGATATTGAAATTGCCGTATCACTGAGTACTAGTTCTCATAATTGTTAATAGAATATATTGGTATAACAAAAATACGATTTTTGTTTTACCCCCTTTTTTTTCATTTCACACCACAGAAAAGAGTTTTTTTTTTATCTCTATTATGCAGTTGTAAATGCAATGCATGTTATATCGTAATTCCTTTCACAATAAAGCTCAAAATAGAATCATTTATACCATTATAGACCTCGACAAAGTTTTGACGGAAATAAGCAAAGTATCCTTTTTCAAGGTTGTTACGAAAGCATGGATTTTGAAAACCTTAGAAGGTTATCCCATTTACAAACTAAACTAAAAAACATGTTTTGAATCAAAGCACAGAATAAATGGGTAAAAGCAATAAAATTAAACTCATATCAATAAATTATAAGCTTAGATTAAAATATATAAAGTATCTATAGTAAGATGTTAAGGAAGAATAATATGTAAATTTTTCAAAAATTAAGATTCAGGAAAATTTTTTGGCTTTATTTAAAATTCGTTTCTTATATTGTGCCTATATTCATATAAGAATAAGTATTTATTTCACTCTGTACTTTTAAATCTTAAATTTGTATTTTTTCATGGTGTATAACCTAGTGAGTGATTAGCTTATAAATAATACGAAGCCTATTTCTTTTTTTTTTTTTAAATTTCCCATTCTGCTTTCATATAAGATTCCAAAAAGTATTTCTTATTTTTAACAATTTAAAATTATAAATTTTTTTTAAAAGAAAGGGTAAACATATAAGAACTTTGAGGAATTTTTCACATTGTCTAAGTAATCAAATAATTTTTCATGAATTCAAATTGTTTTTTTTTTTTTTTTTTAAATTATTGATAAACATTTGACTTGTCATAGCATCGTAAACATAAATAAAAGTTTTGAAAAATATCTAGAATAATTTAATTAGGAGTACAACTTAAGCTCGAATTCAAAAATCGAATTTTTTAAAGCTTTATAGCATTATAATATTTTTTTTAATGTTTTACTACATAATATGATATTAGTAAAATTTTTAATAAAATATAATTGCTTTGCTTGTTAAAAAATGAAAAACAATTAAAAATATCATAAATTATAAAAACGTTGCTTTTGAGAAAAAAGTTATTGTTCTTTGAAAATTTGTATGTAGGTTTTGCGTAATGACTGCTATGCTTTGAATTTAAATCTAAAATCAAAGTGTAAATTTATTATTTTTGTTATATATTTTGTTTAATTTACAATTTTGTTAAGAAAAAACGTTTAGAATATCTCTTTATAAATTCAATATAGAATGTATATACTTTGTCACATATCATTATATGTTAGAACAGTTTCTAAAGATTGCAGCTCAAAACACAGTTAGCCATAATATTGATCCAGAAAAAAAATTATTTTGAAATTTATACTTCACAATTTATTGCCCAGTTGTTAATGTCACAAACATATTTAATAAATTTTAAGACTTTTTTTTTAGATTTTAGAACCTCGACCTACCAAAAATAAATAAAATTTTAATAAAGGCTTATTGTGCAAAAANAGCATATATATATATATATATATATATATATACATATATATATAATATTTGTCGCACCCAGTCATATATCTTTAAAGAAGGTACTCAATATTTTTATAGCTTGGTGATCGGTTACATTAAAAAAAAATTCATTTAAAAAAAACATAAAAGTCAGACAAAGACGAATTTTTAGAGAGTGAAAAATTAGTGAAATATGATACTAACTTCAAAAGTTTATTGAATATGGTTTGCCAAATGTGAAATGTCCAACGTCGGGAAATGGTTTAACCGATTTTGTATACTTTATAGGTAAAATAGCAAATAAAAACTAAGATATTATAGGGAGTGGGTAGTCACGTCGAAATGCAACATTCACAATAAAATTATTAAAGCAATAAAAATGATGTATTTAAAGCAAAATTTTTTAAAAATTCAAAATATTAACATTAAAACCATTAAATGAATCGAATCGTAACAAAATGTATAATATTGCATTTTAAATATATAGAAGAATGCAAATTTTTTTTGAAAGTTAATATTATTCAAAATGAAAACGCTTTATTTAAACAATAAATTTACAATAAACGCATGAATTTCTCAGGTAATCAAAGTTCTAAGAAATATAAATTCAATTGGTTTATAGCAATTGTTTAATATTCAAATTTATGAGTTTATCTCAGAAAATAATGCTTCGTTTTCAAAATTTTGAAGTGAAGCATGAATTTTGAAGCAATAATGTTCAACAAAACTGTATTTCAAATTATTCTAATTGCATGAGAATAAAAAAAAAGATAAGAAATTTATTTATATGTAAAAGTTTAGTAATCTGTTTAGAAGTGTAAATTAAGTGATAAATTCATATAAAGGTATAGAATGTGTGATAACACTTAATGTAAAAACTAATAATTGTAAAGAATGGAAGAGAAAAACGAAGTTTCCGCTTGATAAGGCATTGTTTACAAACTTCAATCGTTTGCTTTTGCTTTGTTTTCTACTTATTATCTGCAGACGATATCATAATGGAATGTATTTTACAGCATAAAAAGCAAACAAGAGCAGAATTACCAACAAAATATTATATTTCAAACAAACGATTACTTACCTTAAAATTTAGGAGTACAATAAAATCCTTTTTTTTTTAGATGAGTCAAATTATTTGACGTCTGGAGCAACGGTATATCCTAACGTTTTGTCTATTCCACATGTTCTTCCATAACACCTCTCGCTTTCGATTCTGCCAGGCGTGACGTCACGTGATGCACCTGTAGATTCCGCCAATAGAAGACCACGTTTCTAGGACACTACGAAATGAACGTGGGAGATAGGATTTAAAAAAAGAAATCGTTTTCTCTTTTACTATATATATATTTTTTTATATTGTTTGCATTTTTAGGTTTTGTTATTTAATCATGGATCGTTTATTTTTTTTTATTGGTCTGTGAAAGTGGTATTGGTTTTTTGTGGGTCAAACACGACGCCCTTCCTTGTAAGTGGACTGTGGCGAAGTTTTTGACGTTTGAATTTAAGAAGAAATATAAAGAGGAAAGTGTATTTTCACTTTCTATTCAAAATATATGCAAAGTAGGGTAAAAAACATGTTTATAAAAAGTATGTATAAATTACTTGTCATGATACGCTCAATTACCGAAACAACAAAACACCATAACTTTTTCAGCATTAAACCCATCTGTGTAAAACTCGATATTTTGAACGAAAATAAGCAAAATAAGAAAACAAGGCAAATATTTTTAAACACTTGAATTGTTGTCAGACGAGAAGTTTGCAAAAACTGCACAAAGTAACAACATTTTGTAAAAAGAGCATGAAAAACTGAATTTTTGTGTAATCGAAAAGTTTGATTTTTACGAGTTTGATCAATTATACTTGACGGTAACTATTAATTACCTAAGAGATAAACTATAACGATATACGATTAAACATCGTTTGACGGAAAAATAAAAAAAGATAAATTATTTATGACTACATTACTTTTCATACAAGTAATTATTAATTGTTTTTTTTTATACAATTAATTTACACTTCTACAATACTTCTTTTATTACTAATATTTTTTCTCTGTTTGATTTAATTTCAGGAAAGTATTTTTACAGAAATTAGGGAAAATATTAACAATTTAACTTAGAATTAGATTAATGTTTCTTTTGCCGTTGATGCAAAACATATTTATATTGTTTTCGATGCAAAACATATCCATAAATACACCCACTATTTAATACATATTTTTAACAACAACGAAATACAGAAAGTAATAATCTTTCCCACGAATTTTATTCAAGCCAAGAAACGTAACTAAATTTATCATACACAAGAGAACTTTATCTTTCCTTAAAAAAAGTAAGTCCCTTTCGGCTATAATAATTGGGCATTATATTGGTAAATCTCTCTAGAATTTATTTCAATGTTACACTCAACTGCATTTCTACAGATGAACGCTAATATTTTTGTACAAGCGATACTTTGATACACGTGTGATACACGCGAACTTTGCATAATAATATTCAAAATTCTGTTATAATTTACATAAGGCGTTTAAAATAGTTTATCGTAAAATAGTTAATAGTATATATACAGTTTGAGAAATAATGCGTTTTAAAAGAGCACAGAAAAATTATTTGCTTATATAAGATAAATATTATGGAATCATATCTTTTTACATATTTCTTTTTAATTTTTATAAGGAAAGAATATTTCTGTAATTCACGAATGGCAGAAATATTCTTTCCTTATAAATGCTTAAATATATAATGCATGTATACATAATATATGTATATATTACATGCTTCGCATATACAGAATATATGTATATGCAAATATGTAAATTTATCATGTGTCAGATTTGTTTAGTTTATACCTTTTGATTTTAAAAACAAAAAATGAGATATTATAAATTTTTAATTTCTTGTAATTTACAATGACGACTCGCAATGATTTAAAAACAAGTAATGGCTTAGATAATTTTTATGACACTTTCTATAGTCATGTTTGTATTACTCGGTTGGGTATTATAATTAAGGATTCGTAATTAAAAAGAAGGTATTCAAAAAATGCAAAAAGAATTTTCTAGAAGCTTTTTATTTTCATAATTAGGGCTATTATTATTCACAACGCGTGTTAACGTGTTTGCATTTTCCTCATCTTCACACGCCTTCATTCTAATTCATTAAAAAAATTTGAAAAAAAAAAATAGAGCATGTAACGTCAATTAGAGCTGAATATATTGAATAAAATTAACTCTAAGTTAATCAGACATGAATTAAATACAAATTTTACTATAGAAAAATGATTTTTTTTTTCAAATCTGTTTTTATTAATTTAGAAATGCTTTAAATTTAAAGTTAAAACAAGTAGCAATAGATATGAGTTTTGAAATATTTTTTTAATTAAAATAAATCAACAAATGTAGTTACATTTAACTAATACACTGAAAAAGGTATCGTCAAAACTACAAGAATATGGTAAAATGTGCCTAATTACCGGTTCTATGGGAACATCAAAAAGCTCGATAATTTTTACTGAAGTGCTTTGATAGTGATTTTGGTAAAATTAACAATAATAAGACATGGTTTTATTATAAGTGATACAATTTGATAAATTTGGTGAATTTTGGTATATTTTTTCATATGTAGCAGTATGCCATTTTTTAGATTAAATATACTTTTCGTTTTTGTATTTTTTTATTAAATGTGTGGTAAGACGAACCACAATTTTGGATTTGGAGTTTTGGATTATCATAAATAAGTTTTCCTGAGAGTTTTGATCCGGGGACTTAGGAGGCGAATTCGTATGTTCTTTATTGTAATTGTATTTTGTGTACCATTCTGTGAAAGTTTTGGATCTATACTTTTTTGTCATGATCATCTTTAAAAATTAATCTTGTTAAAAATTCAAGTGGTAAAATAGTTTTTAAATAATTAAAATGGAATTATTTTTAAATGTCAAACAACTAATATTAATACTGAATGGATGGAAATAAAATCGAGTTCAATAAATACTATAATATGGTTAAGTTTAGTTCGTCAATAATTGAATGATTCTATGATTCCTTATATATCCACACTCTTAGAATTTTTATTTGAAAATTATGGTGAAATAACAGGTAGCAGTCTGTCCATCCTGTAAAGTTTACGGGCAAAGAACATTTTTTTACCTTTACGGTATTGAAACCGTTTACAACTAGTATGCTTTTAAAACCATGAATACAAAACTATGCAGTTTTTTAACCATTTACAACATGGTGTCAAAACCGTAAAAAAATAAATTTAACTGGACATTGGAAGTAGGCTTTTCGTTAGGTAATGGCCATTGGAGGGTGCAGGACACTGGAAACTTTATGTGTTGAAAAGGAATGGATAAAATATTGTGGTGCCAAAGCTGAGACTCGAACCCTTTTCCTGTCGGTGCTGAGACTGGCAGAATAGCCCTCTAGGCTATAATATGTACCAAACTGTGAAGAGCTAAGTGGCTTCATTAGGTTGGCTTAGTTGCTGCGATAAAATTCCGGTTGTTTAACCGTATTAGGTGAAAGTAGTTAATAAGCGGTTTTTTTCACAATTAACAGTTTGAATACCATCTTTTTTATGGTTATCTGACTGTTTTGTTTGAATATGGTAAAATAACAATTAACTAAATTGTTATTTAACCATTTTTTCCGAGTAATTATTAATAAGAGATTGCAAAATTACATTCGTTGTTCTACATTTTATTAAAAAAATGATTTTAAAAAAATGAAGCCAGCAAATTTCTTTTTGTTAAACGCGTTTTTAATTACAAACTGCTTCGGGCTATTACACAATTACATACTTTTTTCAAATGCTGGTGGTTACTAAGCACAAAGGAATCGTTATATATATTAAATAAGCTAATTCAATTAACCGTTACTGTTTTCGTTCGAAATGAAACAAGTTAGCTTTTTTCGTTATTAGTTCGAATAATTACATAAATGTTAGATAATACCATCGCACTTCTTCAACCATAATATCCTACAACTTTTCCTTATTTGCAGTTCTACTTTCCATCGGAAATTAGTTCGATTTTTTTTCCCTTTCACTTTCCACCATTTCTTTTTTGCCTCGAAAAACCTCATCTATTGGGAAACATGATTTCGATTTTGTTTCCTCTAAAATTTTGAGGGGAGTAATTCGGGTATTATTTACACCGGATGGATGCTGTAATACGGCCACAGGTAGGCGTCACGTGACGGAGCATGCTGCGAAATCTGGGTCACGTGCGACACCCGGAACGTCGATTAATAAGCAAATAAAAGAAACACTGAAGGAAAGAATAGAACATTGGGTTTATTTCGAGCGATCTTAAAAGGAAGAGAAAAAAAAATCGCGATTTTTTCCTCTTCCGTCTATTTTCAGTGGTCTTTATAGAATATTGTGGTCCTTAAAAAGTGGCCAAACTGGTAAAAGTGATTGCTTTATTTCTCTTTTCTTTCCTCTCGATAATTTCTCTGATTTCGATATATCTTCTTCCGGTGATCCTGCTTCCACGCTTCGTTCGATATTGTATCGTCTGCGCTTTCGAATCGGAAGCTACGAGACAATGAAAAGTTGGCAACAGATAAAAAAGATTGGAAGATGATAAATGAAATATTGATTTTAATCGGGTATATTTAGTGCGTGCACGCAATTGATCGCATTGGCCAGTGAGAAATCAGCTTTTTGTTGAGCATAGTATGTCATGAGTGTTCAGTCTTAAAAGACGTCATTTCTACTTGCTGGAGAGAATGAATTATGCTGAAAACATTTAATTTTTTACATAGAGTTTTTAATATTAAATAAGATTTAAATGAAACAATGATGAAAATCAAAATTTTACACATTAATATATATTTGAAAATGAAAAATATAACAGTGATAAAAATAGAAACTTTATACCTTGATATCTATTTCAATTTGATACTCTATTTTCCGTTGTTACAACTCCATACTATTTTCCATTTTGCTGCATATAAGTCCAATGACTTTGTTTTCAACCGGCGAATTTTTAAAAAATATCAAAGAAAAACAACAACAAAAAATGTGTAGAATATTTGGAAGATATTTAGATATAAAGCGAATTCATTTACTGTTATTAATATAAAGTATAAAGGATATTAGTATTGATAACGATATAGTATTGATAAAGATTATATCAATTTCCATTTGATAGTTTATTTTCCGTTGTTACACCTCTATACTATTATCTATTTTGCTGTATATAAGTACAAACTCTTT